AAAGTAAATGCCATGCTTCTGGGATGCTTACAAAATTTACAGGATGGAGGTAAGAACCGTCTGGTTAATTAAGTGTCAGAATAAAGAATAAAGAACGTCTGCATTTCAATAACCCCAATATTCCAAAGGTAAGAAGTCTTGGGCAGGATGATTCCAAGGGGCCCTAAAAAATTTGGAACATAATTGGGTTGGTCTGGGTTAGGGGCCCAAAATCTCTGGCGGGGCCCCTAGTCTCGGGAACTGGTCTTCCATTGTATTAATGCAGCTGCTTGTTTAGCCGTCGACAACAGATGTTAAAAGTTTAGTTAATGCTTTCTTCCTTATTTTATGGAGGGCAGTTGAAAGACAACCCCTGTGAAGCAAGGATAATATTAGCTGGGAGATGAAGTGGGTCATTGTGTTAGGAACTAGGACTGAACATGAACGCAATCCCTCTGCGCACTCCACATCCGAGGAGGACGTGTCACCGCCATTACGTCAGATCTCGGCTCCGCCCCAAAGGCCCGCAGTAAAACGTCTCGGCCAATCAGAAGCTTGCATCTCTCTGTGTCTTGTGGGCGGAGGACCAATCCAGAGCTCAGGAGGGCAGCCTCCACCAACCGGAAGGCAGATTTCCCAGCAGAAGGTATCGTACTGCTTTAGGAACCATGAGAAAGTGTTTGTTACTTGGAAGATGATTCGGCTCCCATGTTTTGTCTTTTCAAACCTGAGCGTTCCTCCCTGATCCGATTCATCGTCCATATTTCAGGTTCTGCATGTCCAAAACTCCGAGATAGGGCCAGGACATCCCGGATGTCCCAAACAAAGAACCGTACGTCCCTCACGCATGCGTATACATGAGCCACCAAAAAAACAATAAATGATCTTGCAGTAACACCCAGACTAATTTACTGCAAATAAAAAAAGGGAAATTCCTCACATTTTTTTTTCCCACTGAAAAATAAATCATTAAAATTGCTCAGATTAGGTCCCATTTATATCTTCGTGGCTGGCTTCCTCTGTGAAATGAAACAAGATCGTAATGTCCTCTCTTTCAACACACTGTAAAACACAATTATTAAACGCATTATAGTTGACCTTACTGCAGCATGCATACTTCCGTTGGCTTGCAGGGCTATTTGTCCCGCTTCCACACCTGATTCTCAGCGCCATATTTTCTGATTTTTTACTTTTATATTAACCTGAAGTATGGCTAATAGTGTGGAGTAGTGGAGTGGGGTAGTGGAGGCTACCAGACCAGGAATCCCAGAACCCATCAGAAGCTGGAGGTTTCCCAGAACCCATGTTAATCAAAAAGCACTCACATCAACGCAATCTGGTTTTTTTTTTTTAAATCTAAGTTCGCTACATATCAAAGGACATGAATAAAATATTTTTGGTTCCAGAGCTCCGGTTCTGGATTATATAAAAAATGTGGAGCAAACCACCACCCAGCTTCAGGACTTTAATCTGGGCTCTTCTCCTGCTAACCCCATACCCTCTCGCTGTCAAGGCTACCTGCCGCCTGAGAGTTGCCCCCTGGGTAAGCGTTGCCCATGAACGGGCCTTATGCTCCAGTACCTGGCTCTACCTGACGGCCTGTGCCTTCTGGGGCTCTGGCCCAGCCCAATACCTCCCATGCTCTGATTAAAACGGAAAAGGTTATGGCTTACTCTGGTAATAAAAGTTATTTGCATATTCTAACCACAAAAAAAGTCCTTTTAAGTTACTGTGAGATTCCATTCTATGATTTTTATATGAAAATTAAACTATTTTAATGAATAAATAGGATATATAACAACGTATTTAACCAAAAAATGCACTACGCATTCTTTTTAATACAGGTTGCATGGTAACTCATTGACCCTGGATTTCTGTGTGCCAGGTCTATACATCCTCTCTGTTTTTGTTTTTAGTGTCCTGCAAGGACTCCCACAGGCCAAAGGCCTGCAGTTCAGGGCCTTCAATTACTACACCTGTAAATGCAAGTACAAAGTGTACTTGATACAAAGGAATCGTTATCAACTTGGGTCAGTAATTCCATTTTCCTTTTGCCCCAATCCTTTTATTTTTACTTTAAGTTCTCAGGATAATTGTGACTGGATGTAACAGCACAGCCTGGTCTGCGTGGAGAGGACAGCAGTGAATACAGAATGTGACTTTCTCTGTAGAGGACGACAAATGGATGGCAGTGACGAGGGGAGCGCTGGACAGAATGGGGATTTTATTCATGTCTTGGGTTTAACAAAGTGGTGGGAGAGACACCAGCACAAAGGGTCCGTTTTCAGCCAAAGCAGAGCGGGAAGGGAAACAAAATGGAGACTGGGTTTGCAGCGAGGTGTGGGGGCATAGGGTCTCCCCAGAGACAGCAGAGAAGGGATTATCACCTGACTTCCCCCCGTAGTATTACAGCTGCATAATGCTAGGAATCAGGGGGGCTCAGCAACAGGGGGAATCCAGGTTGGATGAGAGAAACATGCAGGGGATCCGTACGGGCAGTGTGTGTGTGTGTGTGTGTGTGTGTGTGTGTGTGACTGAATGTGTGAGTGTGTGTGGATTATGTTTATGTTACAATGTGGGGGACCAAATTTCACCCACAATGTGATAAAAACCTGTTATTTTGACTTTGTGCGGACCATTTTTCAGGTCCCCACAAAGATCTGTGAATGCAATCAAAAAAACACTAAAAATAACAAAAGATTTTTGTTTGGTTATTTATGATTAAGGTTAGGGCTGGGTAGGGGTTAAGGTCGTCATGTTGGGAAGACAGTTTTCCCCATAGAAATGAATAGAGAAATCATTACAAAACTGTGTGTGTTTGAGTGTGTGTTTGACCAGCAAGGTCCTGGCGTTCTGTGATTGGACAGCCCCCCCCAGGTGATGCCGGTCCCTGTGGCCATGCGGCCCAGTCGGGGTGATCCTCTGATTAAATGCGGCAGTAGACACCCGGTAGGCATGACATCATCCATATGTATGTTACATAAATGCCGCTATTTCGGCTCCGAGGGCCCCTGGAGAGTAGCACACCTGCTCCGTGGAAGCGCTGCCATGAGCCCCCGCCCACGGTGTGCCAGATCCCGGACTAGCCCACCACGTGTTGCTGCTTCACAGTGTACAAGAAAGAACTACGTCTGGGGAACCGCCGGGCGAGGTGGGGCCCCACATTCGGGGCCCGGGGCTCGACAGCTGCCCTTTGTCCCTGCCTGCCGATTTACGGTCTGCTGAAACAGGTTTCAGGGGGTGACGAATGGTGATGTATCGATTGGGTGGGAAGCTAATATACCACAATGTCAGCGCAAACCCACAAGTCCGCCAACAGCCTGGAAGACGTATCGCGGAGGCACCACATCCTGGACCCGGTATGAGCCAATTCCTCGGTTGGACCTAAATCTGGGCAGACCCCTTCGAGGGACCGACTAAGCCGCAGAGAGTGGCACCGGACTAGAATCGAAATGAAAAAGGAGTGGGATCAAATATCGGCGCTCGAAGGTTCAAGCTTTTATAGCAGAAGCCGTTGTAGCTTTTGTTCCTATGTGCAATTATATTAATTGAATTAGCTGAAATAATGACATACTGGTGCGGAAAGCGTGAGGTCAGCTGATGCCCCCAGAGCGGTTAGGATTAATGGCCTTGCTCAACGACCCAATGGTGATATGATTACTTTTCCAGCCATGGGACTTGAACTGATGACCTTCCAGTTCCAGGCACAGATAGCTCTGTCACCTCAAGTCAACTCTCTAGGTTGCACACCGTTCCAATTAAGCAGCCGGAGGCAGTCCCCAAAAACGTGCTCCCGGACCTGAAGCGCCTAGACCGACCCCTGTGACGCAGAGGGACATGTGGAATACGGGGCCTGGGGAGTGAGTTTGAACCCTGGAGAACCTGGCTGAATTATTCAAGCTCTGGCTGCAGCTGGAATCCGACTGTGCCAGCAGGTACTGGAGTCAGAAACAGATGAGAGCTTGGGAATCAGTCCTGTGACCATAACAGGTCTGCCTCCAAGACCACATATCAATGTACTGACCTTATTAAGGAGACCGTGACATTCCCAGCTGTGGTGGGGGACGACGGCATCTGTCATCTGTAGTGACATGCAGTGTCTGTCATGCACAATCAGTGCATAAATATACTAAGCATCTCTGTGTCACTGACACATACGGTCTGTTTCGACGCCTCACATCCTGTTGGTTATATGTCCCAGAATCCCTGTGAGTGTCAGAGAATCTCCCAGGAGAGGCTGTAGTTCATGGGAAAGACAGGTTTGGCCTGACCGCAGCCCACACCGGGCCTGCAATAAAAACCTCATCAGTTAAAGTCAATAAACATTGATATGTGTTTAGGAGACTGACTCAAGAGTATTTCTGCCCCGAACAGCACTGTTTCGTGTGGATATTGAGGACAGGGGAGGTCAAAGACCTCTACTCCCCCTCACACCCCCCCCACGCACAGGTTATAATGGATAGGCTCTTTTTAATGTCGCTAAGCAGTAGGCACCGGCAGAGAGAACATTAGGAGCACATTCTGGGAGCTGTTAATCTGTCTGTCTAAAGTCATTTTTCCTTATAATTCAATCACTGCTTTAGGGCCAGTAGACCGAGGTAATAATTAAATCTGTCGGTCGTCTAAATAGTGAATACTAACCACTGCTTGTTTATTGATTATTTATGTAAATGTTTACAGAGGTATGCCGCAAGATAATCGATATAAATATTTGCCACGTCCAGTCCTTTCCTTTCAACTTTGGGGTACAATTTACCCCCGCTAAAGTGGAACCGAGTTCAGTTCTGTCAGCTGACAGGGTCATATTTTGTTCTGATGATGTTTGGATCACTTCACTAATTCTTTGTGTGGCCTGCGAAGTACACGAGGCACATTTATTTATATCGCTTTTATTCAGCTGACTGCCGGATGCTTTTTGAATGCAAGTCATTCAAGGGTAAATACAGTGACGTTTCATTCCAAACAGCTGGGCCGCTGGTATTTATGTGAAGGGCGGAAAAACCTGCGCGATGCGCGTCGAGTTTATTCCCCGGGGTGGGAATCGGGTGGGATCGCATTTATGAATCCTGACAGGGAGCGGAGCCTCATTCCGCAGCAGATCGCTCCTCTCGGGCGCCTCCTCGCACATTTCGCCACAAATTCGTACGGTAGGAGGGAGGGGGGGGAGGATAGCATGGATTTAATACCAGGCTGTCTGCCCGTGGTGCGGTACTCTCGTAACTGACCGTGTTTAAACGTAATAATCATAATAAAGCTACAGTGTACCTCGGACGCTGTCCCAGGTACTGAAAGCCCGGTATGCCTTCCTGCGGCAACTCGGCGAGTTGAGACGGAGCGCCGTTTTCAGTTGAGACGAGAAGACGACGGGTTTTTTTTTTTTGGGGGGGGGGGGGGGCAGACTGACGCAAAGGCTAAATAAATGCACGCCGCTGTGGGTACATACAGCGTTAAAGACTAAATGGGATCGCACGTCCTCCGAGCAGAATGTAAAGGCTGTTTAAAGCATGGGGAAAACTGACGTGCCCTCCGTTCTACTGCTGCCGCTACTGCTGCTTCACCTCGGCGCCTCCTGGGTTAATGCCGGTGAGTCCCAATGTCTTTATAATCGAGATGTAAAAATTGTAATTATAATTGTTGCACGTGCGTTGTATGCATATTTCGAGGGCACCGACGTGGATCAGCTCCTCTGAAGTTGAGCTCCCGAGACATATAGATATACCCGCTTTATATAATGCATTGATTTTTCTGTACATATATCGTAAATGTGTTTTAAATAGGAAGGAGCGGATGTGTAACGTTGTAAGTTAGCACACAATTAGACAAATAAGACACGCAGCTGAGCGTTTTTTCTGCAACACCTCCGCTACGTGTCAATGCACCTGTCGGGCTTAATCGCGGCCAATAAGCGGCACAACTTTATTATTTTTCGCCTGGTTTTACTAAATAAATCAACAGTATTTTTTCGTCTAAACCCCATATGTCGAATAGAAGCGACGTCTGACAATCTCATGCACGAATCTTTTGGAAGTTAATGCTATGTGTGATAAACCAGACCTATAGCTCTCACGCCATACTTAATTATGACAGCATATATTTAGAGAGATTTTTTAAAGCACAAGTTTATGAACAAGGTATGATATTTGGCTGACAATCCCCTAGTACAGTAAACTCAAATAGCTGGGCTGGTCTTCAAAGGACTGTTCAGCTTAAAGCTCTTATTGACCTTCGGATCGATACAGAGATTGTGCGGCTAAAGGTTCCTCCTTTACTGTGTAAAACGCGTTTTACAAAAGGTGTTTTATCAAAAATGGTTCATGTTAGGACAAGGAGAGGTAGAAGGATAGTAGGGAGGGCTCATCGCCCCCCGCTCCGTGATAAACTATCTGACAGCATGGCACAGATGCCGTATGCGGTCGCTGCTTTGTCTCCGTCTATCACATACATATTGCATTTCATGTTCCCCAAATTAATTTTGTTTCCACTAAAATCATGGTCGTTTTCCCCAAAAGAAAGCATTAAATTTATTTTCTAAAATTATGTTTCAGCTTATATAATACCAAGTACCTTTTTTTGCAAATTAAGTCAACCCTCGATTAACTCACGAACCGGTGTGTCTATAGAAGTTAGAATCATGCGTGAATTTCTAATTAGGCCTATTAAAAATGCACGTAACTGCCGTAAATAAATGCTGCATTTCTTGAACAAGTTAATAAGGTAAATCAATCCCAGATTTCTCTGATAGACGTGTATACAGGCCTACACTTTCCCTTGCCTTTGTTGTTACAATTCAAAACCCGAAGCTGGTCAAATTTCACAAATGACGGCGGCTATAAAGTTACGACTAAACTACAGATACATGGATTGTGTTTTCTAAGCAGCAAACATTTATTTGGTTTACACTGCACATTTAATAGCTGTCGAAATAATAAAGTGATTTTGTAAATTGTAAATTGGGCCTATTTGTAACGTGTTGCGGAATTTGGTATCGCAACTGTTTCATAAATGTTATGTAAAGCTATAATTTGTTAAAGCATACTTACATTTACGTTGGCATTTACTTAGGTAAATATTGAATTCATTAATAATCATGTTAAAATCAACACAGTGGGTAAGTGAAAACAGCTAAATGTGTATATAATTTTGTTGCAGTCGTTACGCCAAAATATGCCTCTTATGTTGTCTTCTATAGCTTGCGTGACTATAGCTATAGTTTGACCTTGTGCAAACGGTGCATATATCAAATGCGTGGGGAAAATGTTTAAAAATTAATATTTAAAATTGAGTGGGACTCCCATCCTTGAAGGTTTGCCTTTGATATAAACGCTGGCCAGTTAGTTATTAAATCTTTTCAAACTAACTTGCTTCAAAAATCTCGCGTTGCGCTGCTGCTGAAAGCGAAGCGCCGGAGACTGACGGTCCCCATCAACGCCTTTGATTTTAGCGTTTCACGGTTATCAGGCTAATTGAAAACCACGCTATTTTATCACTTGGTTTATTCCGAAAGCAGACGTAGAGTCTTTAGTGACTTTGGCGTGTTGAGCTGAGGATTAAACGCAGAAACACATCGCTTTGGCTGTCGGTTTAATGGGTAATTAACGGATGCACCACTGGGAGCTTTATTTCCCAGGTGTGTGTACTCATAGACTGGTAATAATTGTTGTATAATGGTTACAGAAACATAGTTTAGTTCGTTTTAACTTGATTTTTTTTTTGTTTTCGTAGCTTGGGTAGCGTGATTCTTTGCCTATCTCTCTCTCTCTCTCTCTGTCTCTCTATCTATCTATCTATCTGTCTGTCTGTCTGTCTGTCTGCCTGTCTGCCTGTCTGCCTGTCTATTTATTTGTTTATTTATGAAAGACAGTGGTCAGTAATGATGATGTGGTCTTTATTAGTGAAGTGGTCTGGAACTCACTGGATAACACTTCCGAACGCCCACTGTCAGATGAGAAAGTGCCTTGTTCAGAAATTGCTCGAAGATCTCTCAGGGGGCGGGTGCTATCTTGGGGGCAAACGTCCTACGAAGCATGTTGCCAGATGGTTTTTAAAGACGGCAAGAATAACTGAAGGCAACAGGCAGCAGGTTGTGTTATTTCGCCGAGAAACGGCATGAGAGAATCATTTTGTCGGATAAAAGAACATTGTGCGATTTTAGACTCACAGAGACACGTCACTGGGTTTCTCTGTCTTCAGATACGTAGATCGGACATATTTTCTTTCCAGAAGTATTTGTAGCACAATGAAATATTCTGAACACGTAAACAACTCAAATTTAACAACAGTTTAAAAAGTTTAGGAAAGCATAATGTTTTATTAATTCAAGCCATTTACTTTCAGGGGCATGGGTTTGTATTATAAAACTAAATTATATCTCTGATTGCACAGCACTCTCAAAGTCATTCTAGGAAAATAAATGAATGCAATGCATTCTTTCAGCACAAATCAGACGCCAAAGAGTGTTACCCGGTGAAATTCATGGCGTGTGAAATGCAGAGAACGTTACAGTTATCCACACACCCAGTGAAGGAGGCGTGATTCCCTCAGAGACAGCGTGCCAGTTCATCAAAACCAACTTCCTCCCAGAAGGCGACTGAAAACCAAATATATACCTCATTAGAACTCCTACAAGCAAATAGATGTTTGCAATATCCCACATGCACATGAAGGGGCCCCCCAAGTGTCCGATTTAATGGCATTGGGCCCCCACTTCACTAACAGACCCCCGCCTCAGAGCCGTACATGGAAGTTCAAGCAGAATGACCCCGGCCACAGGACGTTGTGTGTAAACAGTCCTAGATCAGATTTACATGTAAATTTTCTTTCAGGGCTTTGAGAAGGTCTTCATAAAGCCTGATCTGAATAGGGTGTTTGGCAGGACTCAGGGAGCTGATGCTGGTGAACGGCTTCGGTTTCTGCTCAGGTGCCGTGTTGGGTTTGGGGCAGGGTCACCACTGTGGGTCAGGGATGTAAGATTGGGTTAGGGTTGGGACATTGTGTTAAGGTTTATAACGTGGTTAAGGTGGTAACATTGGGTTAGGGTCATAACAATCAGTTTGGGTTGCGACAGCATATAAGGGTTGTATCACTGGGTGAGGAGTTTCACACTGGGGAAGAGCGGCGGTCTTCCGTCAGGATTTTAACACTGAGCTAAGGCTGCAGTATTGGGTGAGGGTTGTAACACTGAGTAATGGTTATAACACTGGCTTAGAGTTATAACATTGAGGGCCGATTCTGTAGAGGAAAACTCCTCTCATATTAGCAGACCGATCACGCTTGTTCCCTACTGTCCACACTTATGTAGCTCTTAATTAACGACACCTTTCTGACAAAAAGTCGCGATTTGTTAAACGCGAAGAGAGCAGCCGGCCAGGCTTACGGTGGAATCCGTTTCCCGCGACACCCGGCCAAGCTGCCAGTGCTGCAGTCCATTTGCCGGACCATTCGTCTCGAAAGCACTGCGCAGTGGACTGCGGGAAGCTTGCGGCTTCGGTCACGCTCGCCGTACGGGAGCTGGGCGCCGCCCAGAGATGCGGGGAAAGAGCTGGCGACAGCCAAGCAGGCTAAGGACCCCAGCGGGGGTGGCGGCCACACCCCCCCCCCCCCCCCCCCCCAGCACAATGGTCATGGTGTTCCACCCATGCGAACGAGAAAGCATGTTCCCTATTCTTAATTAAACAAGTAACAGCTGAGGCGGTTTTACTGCTCCTCTGATGAAGTGCCAAAACCAGAAAGAATTACCCCCCTGAAATTTGTTTGAGCAGCCCCCCCCCCCGGAAAACCTACCAAAGGAGACCTATCAGTAGCACTACCCCATGAAATTTATTTTCTGGCTACAGGCCTGATTACCATTAATCTGGCTCCAGATTTTGGCTTATTTCAGAGACCAGCTCACAGCTCAGGGAATGTCGATGGGCCTCTGCCTCGTACGGTGACAACGTCCTGTGGGGGACAGCGGACACGGCCCAGCAGGCCTCTGCGGCCAGTACGGCAAGGAGGCGGGATTTCTCGCCGCTCGATTGATGGAGACAGCCCACAGCATATGCACCTTCCCGAGGCCAGAAGCGTGACTACAGGGGAGGCAGGGGTCCCTGAATCCTTCCTCTCATCCTGCCTCACATCATTGAGGAAGCAGCATCCTGTCCAGTGACTATGTTCAATAGTCAGTTTGCGGTCGATGAGGGGGTGAGTCTCCCTGAATTGTAGAAAAAACCGGTATAGACCAGCATGAATTCCATGCTAGTCTATGCTGGTTAGTGCTGGTTCGGTGTAGCTGCTGGACCAACGTAGATGTACTGGTCTACCTGCACATGAAGCTGGTCCACCAGCACCAACACACAACATATACTGGTATAACCAACAGGCATTGTGCTGGTCATGCTGTTTTTTTTCAGCAGGGCGATTCCACGGGCCGGACTCAGTATGGGAAAGGAGATGAGGAATGCCAGCCTTTAAGATACCAACACGGGCAACAATATTAATTACTTTTCCCTCTAAAGGAATTTAATCAGGAGTCATTCCTGCGGGAGCTCCTTATGAATCGTAAGAGGTTCCCTCGTCTTCCAAAGCATTCAAAGGAGTGTCTTGGG